GAGGCCCACCCACACGTAGGATACCAAGTCACTAACCCAGCGTCGATGTGAGTCTACGGCGGGTCGTCCTTTCGCCTGTTGTTTCTGCACTCTTGCCAAGTGATGCTAAGGCGGGTGGTGGTGGTGGTGGTAGGTGGAATGGGGTAAGCACTGGGGCTTACGGTCAGGAGCGTTTGCTTAGCCTGTCGCGGCAATGGCCGCTGCGACACGCTACGCCTTACGAGCTAATGGCGTGCCGCTCTGTTTCGTGGGACGGGAGGCTGGGAGGAGCTCGGAACGAGGATGCTTTGGGGCTGGGACGTGCTTACATGTCGCGCCGAAACGTGGACCAAAACCGACAGCGCGACACGCTAACAAAAACGTTCTGGACCGCCTTCCATGCCAAAACGGAACGGGCATGGGAAATCTTTCGATACTTGGAGCCGGCGTGCCCCCCCGTGAGGGTTATCCAGAACTGTTCCTCGAGGAGCGACGCACGTAGATATTCTCTCTTACTCCCCTTCAATGGCTTCGAGGCCCCCTTTTGATCAACTCTGCCGCCGCTGCCGCACTGCAAGCAGAGCCTGGGCGGAGCTGCGAGCGACCCGCCGCGAGAACCGCGCACGGCCTGCCGGCAGAGGCGGCGCCTGAGCCCCAACTCGACAGGCCCGTGGGCGCTCGCCCGCTCGGGCCGCAGCAAAAAACAGCGCGCGAGGAAAAGCGCAGATGCGAAAGTGCGAACATGCTGTCTACCAGCCTCGAACGTACCCCTATCCCCAAGATCGACACGCTCCAAGGCGATGACAATCTCAGGCATCCGCCCGCAAAGAGTGAGGGCATCCCCAAGACTGGCATCGCGATGAGGAGGTGCCCAGCCTTGGGGGTAGGGATATGTTGCAGGCTGGTAAGCCTGGGCTTCCGGTCGTCCCGCCCCAGCTGCGCCGCCAGGGCGTCCGGATCGGGCGCGCTGGCGGGGGCGCCCCCAACAAAAAAAAAAGGCCGCAGTGTTGCGAGCCTGGGCGCCTGCCGCTCGCCCCGACCGGGACGTCTCGAGGCGAGCGCCCACCTAGCTTTAGGTCGGGCCCGTCCTCCTGCAAGCCGGTTTTTTGGAGGAAACGTGAAAGGACAAACCTACTCCAGACTCGTCACGAATCGTCGAAATATCGTCCCCCTACGTTTTCCCCTGTGTTTAGAAGTTCCTCCTGTAGAGGGACATGCCCGATGTAAGCGTAGATCCCGTCGCGGCACGTCTCGGACTCCCCTCGTCCACTGGCGCCTCCGCGAACCCGCCGACCCGCCCGAGGCAAGGAGAGGCTGCCTCCCTTATGACCTTCTGGCCGCCTCCGCTGGGCGACGTCCACAACAGCGTCAGATGGCCTGCGTGCTTGATGGCGCGTGGGGCCAATGCATCCTCTTCCGCCAGGAACCTGATGGCACTGTCAAGACACGGCTCAGAGAATCAGCGGAAATCACACGAAGCCTACAACAAGCCTGGCTGAGAGAGGCAAACTCAGAAACGGTTTCCGCCGCGACTGCTCCATGAAGCGGACTACATACCTGACGCCTACAATAATTATGCAGAAACGGTTCGTATACCTATGCGGGAACCTTTCTATGATTGAGGAAATGAGCTGCGTTTCAGACCGCACCCACCATGCATTGAAGACCAACTGAATGCCAACAATGACGCTGAAGCCGACTCTCGTCTGGTAGCCTGAGACCCCACTCGCCATGCCCATGCAGCGTCTTCGCACATTCGAAACATGTTTTTATGGTTGATCACCAGATACCCAAATCAAGTCAGTCATCCCTATCTTCATAATCGTCGTACTCTTCATCGCCACGAAGTTTCCATCGCCAGTACAATCCAGATCATCACCCTGGGAATCGCTACGCGCGTCTTCTACGTCAAAACAGTGACGCGCGCATGAACACACATCATCAACCATCATCTGCGTGGATGTTCTTTGCCCTTTATAGAGGCCTCCCACCAGATGGGGTCGGCGTAGATGGGGCCGGAGGATCGCGCCACATCGCCGATGCATCACCGATACATCGGCGACGTCGGCCGTGCATCGGCGACGTCGACGTGGAGAAAATTACGCTCCACCTCGAGCCGCATCGCCGATGCTGCGGCGCGATCCTCCGACCTCATCCACTCCGGCCCCATCTGGGAGGCCTAGAGACCTTCGCCGAGCTCCTCCCTGAGGAGATGGAGGAGCAGCAGAAGGAGAAGGAGAGGAGGAGAAGGAGGAGAAGGAGGAGGAGGAGGAGGATTAGGAGGAGGACTAGGAGGAGGAGGAGGAGGAGGAGGCGGAGGAGGAGGAGGAGGAGGAGGAGGAGGTGGAGGAGGAGAGGAGGAGGAGGCGGAGGAGGAGGAGGAGAGGGGGGGAAGAGGAGGGGGGCGACTGTTGTGGGAGGGGGGGGGCATGACGTGCACGAGCTGGGCCCCCGAGCGCTCCGCTCCTTGCCAAGACAAGGCCTCTCGACGGCCCGGCGGCTCCCGTCGGGGTGCCACTGGGCCGGCTCGCAGGCGAGGTGCGGAGAGGCCGCCTGGGCGGCCCAAGGCGTAGGTCGGGCGTGTCCTCCCACGGGCGGACTGTGGACGAAAAATTAAAAATAGTCAAAACAAGTCTAAAAACTTGTCCAAAAATCGCCCCTGGACTGTTCTCTTGTATATTTGTGGATTCTCCTCGTGTAGAGGGACAAGCCCGACTGAACCCAAGGCCTCCGACGCAGCTCGAGTGGCCCGAGGAGGCAACCAAGGGAAGCGCCAGCCAGCAGAGGCCCGAAGCGGGACTGAGGAGGCCGCTCTGCAATCGTCACCCGATCGCGTGCGACTGCTCGCGCGACCCAACTCTCGGGAGCGGCCAAGAGGGGGGTGTCCAAGAGGGGGGGTGCAAATCATGACCGGCGGCATGTGCGCGGCCCGGCGGGGGGGCCAGGGACGTAATAATACAGGGAGAGGCGCCGCGAAATCTGGGGAGATGTCATGGCCCCCGCCATGATATCCACCCCCCCCTAGTCACCACCCTCCTCTTTCCCGCCCCCGAAGCTCTCCAGTGGGCAGATCCCGAGAGGCCCGATGCCAGAACGGGGCGGAGCGCGAGGCAGCATCCTTATACGGTCCTTCGCACGCGCACGTACATTCACCGCTATGCTTTTGGGGCACGTCTGCCCAACAAACAATCCGTGGCTCCAGAAGTCCCGACCGCTTCCGTAGTTGACCGATCCGGGTATTTTTGGTGGCCCTGCAGGACCCAACAGTGGGCCCCTATGCCGACATCGAGGAGAGAAGCCCGGATGGGAAAAAAGAGCGTGTCGTCGGAGATCTGTGTGTGCGCCGACCGGTGCGGCTGGCAGCGACCCCCTGGTGATGGCGCTTCTGGGCCATGCGCTTCGTGCAGCCCTCGGACTACACCCAGCGGGCACAACATTTTGCTGGTGGCAGTCTGAAACCAAACTGCTTCTCGTCACTTGCCGCCGGCCCACCTGGGCGGCTCCGCTGTGCTTTCCTTACTTGCAGCACCTCGTCGGCCCACACCTGGACGGCTCTACTGCGCGTACCCTTGCGTTCCGCGTTCTGGGCCTCGTCTTCGCAACCGACGCCGCGGCCCGGCCGCCACGGTCCCCGCTGCCGAGGCTGGCCGCGCCAGCACACTCAAGATGGAAGTTTTCCGCCTCTGAGTGCCCCCCCTCTCCTCTCTCCCCCTCCGCGGCCGCCCTGCCTGGCTTCTCCTCTTGCACGCTGGGCAAGTCGCTCTGCGGTAGCCCCGCCTAGCCCGACCGCTGGCGCAATACATCTGCCTCGCCGCCGACGCAGAAACTGTGCGCCGACCGGTCTCAGGCCCGGGAGCTGTGCGCCTCAGTCGCCAACCTTCCACGTGAGAGGCCGCTTCTCGAGAGGCACCTGCCGCCCGTCCTCGTTGACCTTCGCGGCGACGCCCGCTGGCGGCCCGGCGCTCAAGACCGCCCGGCAGCTGATCTCTGCCGCCGCCTCGCCGCGCCTCTCGTCGTCGTCGTCGTCGTCGTCCTCGTCCTCGTCCTCGTCGTCGTCGTCGTCGTCGTCGTCGTCGTCGTCCATCGTCACCCCTGCATGTCCATATCCACGGCCTGGCGGCCTGGACTCCCAGGCCACGACCCCGTGGACGCAGGGCTACCGCGCGCGCGGCGCACAAGAAGGATCACGCACTCGTCCACGCGATCGCGGTCACGGATCTGGATACCCAGACCCTGGACGTCTTGATCTTTGCGCACCGTGGACCCCCCCCAGCTTGCCATCGCTCGGACGTCCACTCCCCGTACATTGTTCGGTCTCGTGCGCACGTGTTCTCGCAAGGTGCTCCGAGGTGCTCCCCCGATGATCCCCGCCGAGAACAAATGCACACGCCCGAGCGATGCCGAGCCAGAGGTCCCGACCAATGGCCCCAGGACCAGCTTGCCATCCCGAGCGATCTGGTTCCCGACGGCCGTGGGGCCTGGCGAGGGCCCCCAGGCAGAAAGCGCCCCGTCGCGCTTCTTCATGAACCGAGGGGGTCTGTGGGGCGTGGACTTTGTGGGCCCCGGAAACGGCAAGGCCGTTTTTTCACCGTTTCCAAAAAAATGTCCCTTGAAAATGGAAACGGCGAAAAAACGGCGACCGGAAACGGTAAAAAAACGGCTCCAGGATTGGAACCGGAGCCAGAACCGGTCAAAAAACGGCGAGGGAACTGGCAAAAAAAAGGCGTCGGATCCGGCAAAAAAACGGCAAAACGGAACCGGTGAAAAAACGGCCCTGTCGCTTCCAGGGCCCACTAAGGAGGGGCGTGGATATGTGTATGCCCGTCGCTTGTGAGCCTTGTCGAGTTGGTCTCGCGGTAGCGGGCGCACAGCTCGGCCCGCGCCACGCTGCCGACCTTCTCCTCGAAGGGAGGAAAAAAAGGCACCGAGGCCGTCACCTCGTGCCCGGGGCGGCTGCGGGGAGGGGGGACAATGCAACTTGTGGCATGCGGGCGCGGAGGGAGGGGCGAAAAGACAAACTGCGCTTCACATTCGTGGATCCGCGGTCTCGCCTGGCAACGTCAATGCAAGAGGCCCTCGCCGCCCCGGCTGGATCCGCCTCGGAAGTCAAGCCAGAAGCCATTCCAAAGAGGGCAGGTTCGGGGAGCAGTGGTGGCGGCAACCCAAAACCCCACGCGTCGTTATTTTTTACATCACGCGAACCCCGAAAGATCTGGACCCCTTCCCGGGAACCGGTTTGTTCATCCTGCATCGTTGCTTGAAGGTCCCGGGGCCCAGTGAAGGCCCCGAGGGTCGAAAACTATGAGAGAAACCGTCCGTGGCGACGACCAGAAACCGCCCGTCGTGACCACCAAAAACGGTCCGTCGTGATTGTCTGGGGCGGCATCGGTACCTTTCGGTTCCCCCTCTCCACGACGGGCACCTCCGCACGGGGGCGGCTCGGGAGCTTGGCGCCCTCTGGCCGCCCAATCTTCTCGGCCACGTCGCCGCGGCACGCGCTGCCGGCGCCGGTCCGGAGCGCTGTCGGGGCAGTGCCAGAGGGGGGCCACCACTGGTCGGAGGACCACCCCTCGCGTCGTGGAAAAAAAAAATGCACGGCGAGTGAGATGTCACTGTTTCGTGGCATCGGCGGGCCCATACCGAGCCTCGGGACCGCCAGAGAACGGCTCAGGATGACACGCCGGCCCCGTTCAAGGGGTCCAGACCTCTAGGGCTCGACGTCCTGAAAGAACATTAGGTTCGGGGGAGGAGGAGGAGGAGGAGGATGACGAGAGGAGGAGGCGGAGTAGGAGAGGAGAGGAGGAGGAGGTTTGGGAGGGTGATGAGAGGAGGCGAAGGAAGGAGGGGAGGAGGAAGAGGAGGAGTATGAGGAGGAATAGTAAGGGGAGGAACAGAGGAGGAGGAAGTGAAGGGTGCGGGAGGGGGAGAAAGGAGGGAAATGAGGTAGAGGAGGAGGAGAGGGCGGATGAAGGAGGTAAAGGAGGATGATGAAGAAGGAGGGAGGAAGAGGAGGAGGAGGAAGGAGGAAGGAGTAGGAGGAGGAGAGGAGTGAGGATGATGAGGAGGGAGGCGGAGGAGACTGCGGCTGCAGGATTCTGTGGTAGGTGATGGGTGGGGATGCTGTGTCTGCTAGTCGGCGTAGTCGGCGTGCGGTCTCTTCTTCGTCTTCTTCTTCTTCTTCTTACTTCTTTCATCTTCATCTCTTCTTGTTCCTGCGTTCTTCTTCTGCTTCGTTTTCTTCTCCTTCGTTGTTCTCTTTTTTTACTTTGGTTTTTTCGTGTGGCTTGTGTGTTGGTTAATGTGTCGGTTTTGTGTTGGGTGGACGTACTTTATCGTTCTATTCTCTGTATCTCTATTAGTTTTTTGCTTTTCTTGCTTCCTCTCTTTTGCTTCTTCCCTTCCTGCACCGGACGGACGGACGGACACCACGTCGAGCAAGGCTCGGCCCCGGAAGGCTGGGTGGTCAGCGCCGCAGCGCTCAGTCGTCGTACAAGCAGAATGTAGCTTCCAAATCATGCCATGCTGCAGAGTCTGAAGCAACATCTCTCCAAGTGTTGGGTGAAACTTCGATACCTTTGCTGTTCAGGAAGGCGACGATATCATCGGTCCATCGTTTGACGGGTCTGTGTGCCGGTCTGCCACGTGAAGCTGCGTCCAGTTCTGCGTCCCACCTGTCGATCTTCCACATCCACCTGATACTGTCTGCAGTGGCCACTCGCTGCGCCCACCTCCAGACCCGCTTTCTCCATGCAACCATCCAGCTGTCAATGCGGCTCTTGCGCATCTGACGTTCGACGGTTTGTGTTGTTCTGCGCACCCATGAAACCCATGACTCCAACTCACAGTCGCCATTGCTGGTGTCATCTGGGCTGGGTTCCACCTCAGAACTGCCACTGTCAGCTTCGATGTCTCTGCGTTCTTCTACCCGCCTTCCTGCCCCCAGAATCATTCGCAACATTTTTCGCTGTGTCCTTTGCAGCTTCTGTTGCTCCGGTCGTGACAAAGTCCAAGATGCAGAGCCATACCATACTGTCGGTGCAACAGTGCTGTCAAAGAGTCGTAACCTTGATGCCAAAGAGTACGTTTTGCATGTAAGCTCGGACTTGTTAGCCATGAAAGCTTTCCACGCGTGGCGGATGCGGAAATCAAGTTCTGCTCCGGAATTTCTTGTAGATCCCAGCTGTCTTCCCAAATATTTGACGGTGTCCCCCAGCTGCAAAATCTCGATGTTCATGTCCTCGATCACGACATACTTTGCCTTCCCTTTTGCATTTTTCGTTGTGTTTGTTAGTATGTTCGTCTTTTCTGGATGCAATAGTAAACCAGCTGCTCCTGCGGTGATGGAAATATCCTTGATCATGGCTTTGACCTGCGGCAAGGTCCTCGCAAGTAGCAGCACGTCGTCGGCGAAGCGCAAGTTTGTGAGTCTTGAAACACCAGCCGCTCCCAGTTTAAATCCATATCTTGATTTGTGCCACTTTACCTTGACTTGCCGCATGATGTCCTCAAGAAGGCAATTGAAAATGAACGAGCTCAGCGGATCCCCTTGCTTCGTGCCCCGCTCGATGCTGAAGTTCCGGCTGAGAGTGTCCGTCTTGATTGTCACCGTCTGACCCGTATACAGCTTTTTCAAGATGTTGGTGTAAGCGACTGGCACGTTCTGCTTATACATTGCGTTCCAAAGCGCTTGATGTTCCACTGAATCGAAGGCCTTCTGGAAATCAAGGGCTGCAAACCAAAGTGGTATTTGAAACTCTCCAGTCTTCTCTTGCAACATAGCCATGGTAAATAAGTGATCGTCTGTGGAATAACCAACTCTGAACCCTGCTTGGTCTGGGCTTTGGCCTGGCTCCAAAACAGGCAACAATCGGTTATATAATAAACGTGAAAACACTTTGTACAGCAGCGGAATGATAGAGATGGGCCGGTAGTTTTTCGGAAGACGCTCATCTCCGGATGTATGAAGTACTTTGATGACAGATTGCCTCCAAGATTCTGGTGGCTCGGCGTCCGGTCTGATCACCTCGTTGCACATGTCCGTCAACACGTCCAGCACCACGCCGCCAGCATCGAGAAACATTTCGGCCACTACACCAGCGCTGTCAGCACACCGGTTGCGCTTGAGCTGCTTGATCGCCTTCAACACTTCCTCACGGGTGAAAGCATCCACCTTGCAATGCGGATGTTGCGCAGTAAGTGGGGTAATAGGCTCAACATGACGATGTGTGCTGTATAGGTCTTCGTAGAAAGCAGCAAAAACATCAGCTATATCCCTCCTGCTCGTCACCTGCTCGTTCTTCTCCAACATGCACGTCAGCAGCGTTTTCCGCACCTGGGTCTTGATACGCGGGATCCTCTCGAGGCCAGAAAACTCGTTGAGAACTCGTTCGATTCGAAAGGTCGCCTCTTTTTTGCGGAGCTGTTTGATTCCTTTCTGGATTGCTTTACTCAGTGTTGCGCGCATGGACGTGCCCCCGCTTTCTAAAGAACGTCTCTGCCGGATAAATTCCGCAATTTTGCTACGCAGTTCTATAAATGAAGGCTCATCTGCGCTGCTGGTGCGCTTCACATTCTCGGCGGCGGCTTCGAGGAACACGAGCTCAAGCTGTTGAGAGCGAGTCGACGCGTCTGTGTCCAACTGCGTCTCCCCAAGCTTCTTTTTAAGAGTAGAAGAATAGCCATCACGATCCACCAATTCCCACGGTACTCTCTGGGACTGGTGCTTCGACTTGGCGCTAATGCTGTTCAGGACGGGCTTGAAAAGTAAGTGCACTGCTTTGTGGTCGGATCCCAAATCAATGTCAGAGATGCTCCCAGAGACGCATACCTGCTTCCAGACTTGCCGGTCCACCAATATATAATCAATTTGCCTGGGCCTCTTGCTACTGCCTGCATGGGTTTCTCTCTTCCATGGCGGTTTTGAGAAAAACGCGTTCGTTATCACAAGGTTCTTCAAGGAGGCCCACTGTTTCAGCCACTGTCCTCGCGCATTTTCTTGGTTCAGTCCGTGCTTCCCGATCACTTCGTCGCTGTCGGAGTCCAGGTGGCTCCCAACCTCAGCATTAAAATCGCCACCCAATATAAATATGAGGCGGTTGCGTCTGGCATCTTCCCGCAGGCGCGACAACATGCTATACATGGTCTGGACGTGGTCGTCGCCGTAACCGGTGCGAGGAAAATAACTTGCAACAAATCGATAAGAAATGCCATGCAATACCATATCGATGTGCATCAAACGCTCGGAAACAGCAACAAATTTGCGAACTGCGCCAGCCCATCGCTTGTGTATCAAAATCGCACCCCCCCGGCCATTGCAATCATGTCCCGATTTGGCGAAAAGGTGGCCTTCGGAGGTCTCGAAAAACTCTCGCTCGTGAACTCTCCAAGTTTCGCTCAGCATTACAATGCCCCAAAGTATGTCACGCAATTCCAAAAGTAATTCAGAAAAATCTGTCCTCATTCGTCAGACCACGCACGTTTTTATGATACATGTGAAACTTCGGTACGGCATCTGGTATTCCAAGCGTTGTCAGTTGGACTTCGCTCTCTGTCGCATCGCCCGTCCTGTTCGTCACCGCCTGCTCCTTCAAGGAAGGGGCCGGGATATGAACACGAGGGAAATCTCCAGAAACATGGAAATATTTTCCTCTCCCACCCCCCGTTGATTTGGAAAACTGTTGAACTTCATGAAGCCGTTCTCGTACAAGTAGATGTCCTCCTTCCTCTCCGTCTCCTCCCCTGCTCTCTGGTCCTTGCTTCATGGTGTCGAGCGGTCACTCGCTCTCGGTGTCCGGGTCGCGTGATTTCTTCTTCCACCATTTCTGCATAGATGCATCCACGTCTGCCTGTACTGTCTTGGCAGATGCCGAGGTGCACAACTCCCATTGCTCGTTGTACCACGCCACCTTGTTCTCCTTCCCCGCAGTGTCCTTGATGACCACCATCTTTTTCGGCCAAATGATGTTCACATCTTTGTCTTTGAACTACTAAACCGATTACTACTACTACGACGACTACTACTACTACTACTACTACTACTACTACTACTACTACGGTCACTACCACTACGACGACCACCACTACTACTACGACGACAACCACTACGACGACGACTACTACTACGACTACGACTACGACTACGACTACGACTACTACTACTACTACTACTACTACTACTACTACAACTACTACTACTACTGCAACTTATACTACTACTTCTTCTTCTACTACTACTACTACTACTACTACTACTACTACTACTACTGCGACTACGACTACTACGACTACTACGACTACTACTACTACTACTACTACTACTACTACTACTACTACTACTACTACTACTACTCATACTACCACAACTACCACAACTACTACTACTACTACTACTACTACTACTACTACTACTACTACTACTATAACTACTACTACTACTACTACTACTACTACTACTACTACTACTACTACTACTACTACTACTACTACTACTACTACTACTACTACTACTACTACTACTACTACTACTACTACTACTACTACTACTACTACTACTACTACTACTACTACAACCACTACTACTACTACTACTACTACTTCTACTACTACTACTACTACTATGACTACTACTACTACTACTACTACTACTACTACTACTACTACTACTACTACTACTACTACTACTACTACTAGCTACTAACTACTAACTACTAACTACTAATTACTAACTACTAACTACTAACTAC